AAGGGGAGAGAAGGATATGCCGCGGTGTCCCCAAAAGTGAGGGAGGATGGGAAACGATTTCCCCTGTGCCCACTTTGTGGATAATGGGCTTAGGGCTTTTGAGGATGGACATTTGGTCAAAGGTGGCCCAGCTAGTAAATGGCTAAGTGAGTTTTTCTGTTCCTTTCCGCCTGTATTATTTTCCTAGTGTGGCCCTAATAAAGTACCGCAAACTGAGGAGGCTGAAAACAGGACATCAATTGTTGTATTGTTCTGGAGGTTGGAAGTCTGAAGTGGAGGTGTCTGCAGGGCCATGTTCCCTCTGAAACCTTAGGGGAGCCCTTCCTTGCCTCCTGCTGGAGGCTGCCTGCAGTCCTTGGCTTGTGGCCACAGCACTCTGGTCTCTGCCTGTAGCACCATGGGTGTCATCCCTGAGTCCCTGCTCTGGGTCTTCACACAGCACTCCTCCGTAGGCCTCCGGTCCCATTTCCACTTCACATGGTCAGCAGCTATTGAATTGTTGCTCACCCACGTGCTGGGTGAGCACACCTTAACCTGGTTAGCTCTGGAAAGACCGTTTTCACACAGACCCTCCTCTAGGTACAGGAGCTAGCGCACTGAATGGATCTTTGAGGGGACGCAGTTTTCACAGTGCCATCTCATTTCAGAGCCCATGCTTGCCCTTTTCTGCTGTTTAAAGATCTTTCCCCTTCTCAGGCTCCTTATCTTTATACAGTGACGGGCTGAGATTAAATGCTCCCAAATTCACCTCAGATCTACAATTATGTGAAGATGGCTACGGCTGTTTTAATCACCCTAGCAAGTCTCCAAGGCAGGGAAGTTGGTTTTCCTGGAGTGAAGGGCAGAGGGGGCTGGGAGCAGGGCCCTCAGCAGGGCGCTGCTTGATTGCAGCTCTGGGATTGTCTACAAAAGCCAGTGCCCATTTGTTGTTGTTGTCGAAATTCATGGAAATACATGGTGAATGGAGGTGGGTGAGTTGCAGCGGAAAAGAGAGAAATCTACTTGGATTAAGCTTTAGCCAGTAAATCCTGTCAAATAAAATATTTTTTACATTTGTTCCGATGCAGGCACTGTGGGTTCTGAGGTGGGAAGAGGAGGAAGTGACATCAGGACTTTATAATCCAGAACTGGGGATGAGTGCGGGGCTGAACTCTCACATCCTCCCTGCGGCGTCCTCCCTGTCACCTTTCCTGTCCCCTTCCCTACCTCATGTCCTCCCTCCCCC